TGCTGTCGCAGTTGCTTTTAAGGCTTTGTCATTAATCAAATGGAATTGAAATGCGCCGCGTGTACATCACACGGCGTTGATGTTGTTGTTGCTCTTCTTGTTGTCTGTGTTTGGCGCTTCCAACATGCAGCGCCCATTTGGAGTTTGCCATTTTTGCGCATTTTAATCATGCTTGTCTCGCCTGAAGTTATTTGGCTTTTTACGTTTTTACGTTTGGTTATGCCAAAGATCTGCGAGCTCTGATAAACCGCCGCCGACGCGTCTACAATCGTCTATGTTGCCACTGCCACTGGCTTTGCCACTGCCGCAGTCGGAGTCGCAGTCACAGTCACCGTCACCGTCGCCAACGCCAACGCTGGCCAACAAGCGAACAGTGGTCGAAATGATTAATACATCTTGATGCTATTTGGTTTGTAACGCAGGCCAATAAAAACGTTTCTTTTGATTGACAATGCCAACCAAAGTTTGAGATGCTGTCCGGTGATTACTTCATTAGGCGGGCCTCAGTTCGAAAGTTGTTGTTATACCTGAAAGACCATTTCATTCAATTATACATTTGCATGCAATTGAAACATAAGCCCGATGCAACTACTGCCAGCTGTGCCCCATCCGCTTATCAACCTGTCCGACAATTGGTCAACAGCTGCAGCAGCAGCCTGGTTACATTTATAGCCGTTATGCGCATTTGGTAGCCTTTCAGTCGGTTGGTGGGCGATAATTATCTGGTGAAAAATGATTGACTGGCCTATAGCATGTTGCAGAGCGGTCTCACTTCGTTAACGATGCACATTTGCATTCCAGAAAAAATAGAAAACAATAAAAAATGGGCACAGTTGCAGCTGCGTTTTTACGATGCTATTTATGGGTCGCTACATTATTCCGTTTTCCTACACACAACAAAATATAGTTTAAAAACATAAATACTATCAATCACATAACGATGTGTAAGGTAATACGCTTTTTCACACTTTGAGATAATAAAATTTATGAATACCTTTGCCATGTTATTTAAGTGGCAGTCGAAATATTGTATAGATTACCTCATAAAGTGCAAATAATGTTTAAAGGTGTACATTTAAGTATGTATTAAGGAAAAAAATAATCTTGCGATTTCAGAGTGGAGACTATCTGTTCCTCTGATGAAGTAATATGTATATATCCTTCAAACTTCTCATAACCAAATTATATTATTCTCTGCAAGGGTATAATAACTTATTTATTTATTTATCGTGGCAAACAGTCGGTCTTCCTCAGAGAAAAGCTTTAGAGCATATTTGGCAGACAAGTTATCTGGTAAATGATCTGAAAAGAAACAACCATATATGGCCAATATTTAACATATAGAAACCACTTCTGAAGCTTGTGCACATTTATCTCTATTCAGGGTATCAATAAATATTCTATTATCGACAAGTGAACATACAAATCCAAAGATATTTTCACTGATGGCTCCATTTTAGCCAATCGAAGTGCAATTTGATTGCGCTACGTGAGTCAACTTGCTGCTTGTTACGAATTCTCGTGGTTTGTCTGGATCTACAGGTTTTTCGCCGCATTGTCTTCTTTATCTTTTCTTTCTTTGGCAATTTCGCTACAATTGTTGAATTATTTTAATTGAATGAGCTGGGATTGGGGACTGGTTTTCATAGGGGCATTTCTGTAAATGGCATCTGTACGCATTTTACCATGGCTATTGCCTATTGGTAATTGAAACTTGTTAGTGAAGACATTAAAAAATCGTTTAGCACGGAATTTAGGTTAAAAATGCGTGGAAAATCGTGAAAAAAATCAACGTGGCCAACAAAAGCTCAAACCAATCCATTTGACAAGAAATCGCGACCAAAGCAATGAAGCAGAAGAGCTGATGCGTGTGATTATAAAGCCAAGCAACTTTGAGCGACGGCCGAAAAGGGTAAGGAGCCGGACAATGTTGAGGAAAATTGTGTAACCACAATATAAAAATTCCTGCACATAAACTAATCTCGGCAACGGCGGTGGCTTTTGACTACCGCATTTTATTTTTGTTTTGGTATTTTTTTTTCCTTTGTATTTGACGCCCGCTATGATGGGTTGCAAGATGTCGGGATGCTAATCATGCCCGACCATGCACACCAAAGAAATTGTGCCGAAATCTTCATAATTTTGTAGTTGTTTTTGTTGATGTGGAAATTTTTCTGAGCAATTTGCATGCCAAACAATGCCAGACCACAGTACAATATTTTTCCAAGACCTGCGAGCAATAAGTTAACTACGCACTATGCGGACTTGTATGTGTAAATAAATATGCCAAAAATTCGTTTAATTAAAAAAAATTATTGGCGCATTTTAATTTATTGCCCATAATCGAAAACCCCCTCCTCAGCAATTCAAAGCAACATAAACAAGTTGCAAAATCAAAATTTCAACACACCGAACATGAGATACCTTTTGCAGCAGGTTATTTTTATAGCATATTGTTGTGTTTGTAATTAACATTTTATTTTAATTATTTCTTGTATCTTTTATTTCAATTAATCAGCTTTGAAATAAATAAATAAATTTAACGTCAGCTCGAAAAAAATAATCAATCGGCAGTTAAATTTTATTTTCAGTAGCTAAATTTGTCGTATACCAGTTTTCCTAATTCGCAATAAAGTTAATGTACCCTTGAAAAAGTTAAGGAAACCTATCATGCTATCATGTTTTTTAAATGAAACCGCTGGAGGCTGTTTGCATTGGCCAAAATGCGCTAACAATTTCTACGATTACTATTGCAATTGCTATGCAACATAAAGAAATAAACTGCTATCGAAGTCTCAGTCGCAGTCGCAATCTTAGTCTGAGTCCCCATCTCAGTCTCAGTCTCAGGTAGAGTTGCGGCCACATGCATCTTCATCTTGACTCATGATGCATGTGCTGGGTACATGCACGTACATTATTGGCCGCCAGGCAGCCGATCGAGTTGTGTCTGGATGTGCTATATGTTTGTATATATGTATGTATTTGCACGTTCCAGACGCGCGGCTGCCTGGCAATAAACTTTCTTTTTGTTTGGTCCGCAGCCAAATAACAATAATCGTGGCAAAATTAGTCAATATTTGCGCCCCAAAACGCTCAATCAAAATCTTATTATTTTATTTACTATTTTTTATATATTTTATATTTATTTTTTATTACCAAACCATTTTTACTTGTTATCCTCCACTCTCTCGCTCTCTGCATACCTGTCACACGTTCTCTTTCAACCATAAAATATGTATAAAGTAATTTTTGAATTTGAACATCATGATTAACTAAACCACCGAGCAGCAGCCAGGAAGGCAGGCAAATGACTACAAATGATTACGCATTTGACCAAAGCCGCAAGTTTTTTGGTGAAATTTAAGAGGCAGCCTTTTGCCTTCTATGGCCGGTCAGATGGAGGAGCGATAAGCCGATGGAAAACACTGAAAACGAGCTCACTTCAAGTGCTTAAAATGCAGATTGGCCGATCGTTCGGTCTCTGACTTGGCCAATGGCCTGCACTTGTTGTAGTTTCAGTTGTTTTTCCTGCTGTTGTTATTATTGTTGCTGTAGTTGTTGTTGCTTTCATTCAGGCTCTAATGGGTCGTGTCTTGGTCTTCCGCTGCCGCACATTAATGTCTTTGGAGATCAGGTGTTGATGCTGCTGCTGCTGCTGCCGCTGCTAATGCTGATGCTGCGGTCTCAACTAAGCATTTCAAAGACCTGGCTCCACATTGCAGTTGATTTCTGCGTAGATTGTTGCACTTAAATGTTCCTAGCATTAGCATCTGAAATATTTATACCATGGCATTTTCTCTTCGCATTGCCCTTATCTAAAGTATGCGCTAGAAGAATACGCCAAGCTCTTTGCTCTCTCTCTCTGTGTTGTATGCAAATTTGTTAAGTCATTTCTGTTTGTGGTTCTCACGCTGCCACACCAGACATTGAAATGGCGTACATTTTTCCTACATGCAAACCCAAAAAATAAATATATATAAAATAGTCAAAATAAAAAACCAATATTCCTAAAAGCAAATCAATTGACAATTTGGACATTTAGTACTTGCTGCACGATTTTGACGGGGCAAGCCGAGCACAAAAAAACACGTGAACAACAGATCAAAATCGTAATCGCTGCACGCAAACTGTCGATGTGATTTCGATTGTTAGCTGCATCGATTACTCGATTCGATGTAAAACTAACTAAATAGACTTCTAATCAAGACCGCAATGGCACCACCCTCCAATTCCATGGGTAGTCAAAAGTTCGGACTCGTGGCGATATTTTTTTTTGGCAGCAGCAGGTCGTTGTTGCCTGTTCTAAATGGCCAGCCGGCTTTTTATTCGGCTCGCAGAATCTATGCAAAATAAAACAAAAAAGCGTCAGGTATGTTTTTAGCCAAAGTCCAAGTGCGGCTTCAAGAGATTTACGAGCCGAGCGAGCCAAATGTGTTTACACTTTGTCACCCTTCTGTCAGTTTGATTTATTTGTTTGCAGATAGCAAGCAAAAAACTGAGAAGGCTAAAGTAGCTGGCCAAATTAAAATGCAAGTATTGCTGGAATGCATGTCCAAGCAAACTGAGCCCCGAGGCAAGGTGAGCCGAGTGCAAGGAATGGGCGAATGAATGACTGATTGACTTATGCAGCCAGCTGACAAGTGGCTTAAATAAATTAATGTATTTGTCCCCATACAGTACGAGGAAAACTGTTTACTAATCAAAGGCGTGGATGGTGATAAAAAAATCGGCTTTCAGAGCAAGTTTCGGTTTATTTACTTTTTTTTTTTAACACTTGCACTACTTTTAGACGTATTGCCTTTATTTCATAAAGATTGCGAATACATTGAATGTATTTCAAATTGTAAAATATATATTATTCTATTAACGGACGCATTCTAACCTTTTATCAGAAAAAAACTTAATTACGTATAACAATTATTAACGTCCAATTAATAATACAATTTTCCTAACAATTTTCTTTTTCATCTAATCTTTCACAGTTTATCAACAAGAATTTCAGATATAGCCCAGCACTAAAAACATATTTGCGAACTGGAAATACGCGCCCAACAAATGATAGGTACTGAGGATATGTCCACATCGACTGGCATGGATATAAGTGAATCCTTTCGTGCCGAGGATCTCTCTAAGACGGATTTCTTCGATTTTGTCACAGCGCCGGACATGGGCATTGGCATCGGTGTCGGTATGGATGTGGGCGTAGGCGTTAGCCTGCAGCAACAGCACAATCAGCAGCACGCACAACAGCACAGTCACAACCACAGCCAAGGTCATACGCCCACAACGTCACAAACGCCGCAGCAGGCTATTTGCGGCGGCGGTGCGAGAACCACCAGCAGTATGACACACGACGGTGTCGAAGGTGGGGGAGCAGTTATTGTCCCCGTTTGCAATCGCAATGGCAGCTCCAGCAATGGTGGCGATCCCACGTTACAGGGCTATGAGGTGAGCTTCCAAAATCTCTACAACTTTCTTAATTCTCTTTTGATATAAATTAAATTTGAATGTATTTATATTGTATTATTATATTCTGATATGAAATAAAAATCAATACACATATTTCTTAATATTAAAAAGATTGCTTCTGAAATTTGCAATGAGAACTTGCATTTATTCATTTCAACATTTTTTAAAATTAAAAATTCAATTGATGGGAAAGTTTTTTACTTTAAATTTACGTTCGAAAGTATTCTTGTTAAAAATATTTAAATTTCGTGAATTTTATGGTTTTATCTTTCACAGTTCTGGCACCAGGACAAGGACAGCAGCCGCCTTGACTCCAGCTCCATATTTGAGGACCTCGATCGATACTGTTGGCAGCAGCAGCCGATCACAGCCAGCGCCACGACAGCAGCCAATGCCGGCAATGTTCGATGTAGCAACCAACCCAGTCCCACATCACCACAGTCGCATTCACATCCACATCAGCAACAGCAACAACAACAACAGCAACAACAACAGCAACAACAACAGCAGCAACCTAATGCCAGCAGCTCTTCGAGTGCAGCGGGCAGCAGCAGTGACACCATCAGCAGCCTGGACACAACTGACGGCCAGATTTACACATTGACAGTATTAAATGGAGGCGAGCCATGGCTCAAGCGTGCCGAGACTGAGCAACTACCCAGCGCACTGGACTTGGACAGTTTGTTAGGCAGCTTTCCGGGCTACATCAAGTCGGAGTATCCATACGATGACAGCGGTTTCAGTACGGATGGCAAGGATGTAATTGTCAGTGGTGCAGATGCCAATGGCCTCAGCAGTATTTCCCAATCTCAACAGCATGGACAGACGCTACCCTCGCTGGTCACAGCCATTTCCATTGCGGGCGGCGGTGTCAATGAGCTGGGCCAACAGTTGGCTCAGTTCCAGAACAACAACAACGACTGGCACATGGCTGATCACAATGCGGAAGCGGAGCAAAATAGCGCGGAGTCCCTGCTGCGCAGTGCCCTTCAAGGCAAAGGCTATGCCAAAGGGCTGCACATGCAGAACGGACTTACTCTGCCCGTGGTCAAGGACGATGAAATGAGGAGACTACTCTTTACTCCCGACGATGCCGCGGATGCACTGGGCTTTGCGGACTCCACGTTAAATACCGCGCAAATGTTCGAGGATGCGCAAGCGATGAGTCATGCGACTGGAGGCGCACATATGTCCTCGTCGAATCACGGCCAGCACGGGGGCAATGCCAGTGGCATTATTGTGGATGACATGTTCCTGTCGCTGGAGAATGCCTTCAGTGATGACTTCGAGAAGATAAAGCGCATTGCCAACGAGGTGCAACAGTACTGCAGTGGCAGCACTGGCACGCCCACACCCGGAGACTATACCAGCAGCGATGTGCTTATGCAAATCTCACCCAGCGCCACAACGACAACAACAATAGCAACGACAGCTACACAGCTACAGCCCCTGACCAATGCCCAGCAGCAGCAGCAACAACCACCGCCACCGCAACCTCTCAAGGCCGAGGTGTCCACATCGACAGCGGCTAGTGCTGTGGGCACAGGTAGTCGCATTGGTGGCGTTAGCAAGCCCAAGAAGCAGTACAAGCGCAGCAACAGCAGCGCCAACAGCAGCAGCAGCAACAACAACAACAACAATAATCCTAACGTGGCCAACAACAACAATAACAGCAACAACAACAGCGGCAGCGTTCTAGGCGTGGTTATAGGCAACGGTGGCAGCTCCTCTTCGAGCGGCAGCGCCAGTAGCAGCAGCAATAGTCCGCCCGCCAATTGCAATGCCAGCGCAAGCACGGCAAGTGGTGGTGGCAGCGGTGGAGGTGGACAGCGGAAAGAGCGTTCACTGCACTATTGCTCCATTTGCTCGAAGGGGTTCAAGGACAAGTATTCTGTGAATGTGCACATACGCACGCATACGGGCGAGAAACCGTTTGCATGCTCGCTGTGTGGCAAGAGCTTCCGACAGAAGGCACACCTGGCCAAGCACTATCAGACGCACATGACCCAGAAGAACAATGGCAATCTGATCAAAGGCGGCTCCGCCAAGCATCAGCGCGGCATCTCAAATGCAGCTAACTCCGGTGCGAGTCTTGGGCAACAACAACGACAGCTCAGCGCGGTGCCCACTGCTGTGGTGTCGAGTCCCAGTTTAATGAGTGCCGGCGTCGTGCTGAGTGGGCCAAATACACCACCTGGAGTATTACCGCCAGCCAACGGTCTGCTTACGAACCGGTAGTGGGGCAACCTTGGCTTTTATATGAATAGGCTATGTTTAATAAAAACACAAACCGCAAACTATTTCTTGTTCCTTACTTACAAAAAGAAAAACAAAAAAAATATAAGAGATTACTTCTCTAATACTCTTAGGAATGTATTTCCTAGCAAGAGATCATTCCTGATCGAATTAACGTCATTGATGAATTCCTATCTTAGCTTTCTGTGCAATTCCTATATCACAAACACATCAAGACAAGTCCACATAACAACACACAAACTCACTAAATGCACTTCCAAATAAAATACTCAATGTTTTCTACACGTAATGCTAAAACACACTCAAATTAATTTTAAATGTGCCAAATTTAAAGCAAGTTAAAGTAAAATCCAATTTTAAATATTATTAATTAATTTTAAATGCGAAGAAAAATAGAATACAATTTTAAACGAAGCTAATAAGCAAATTTACGAGTGGTGATATCAAATGAGGCCAAACGCTTCCTTGCAAATACAAAATCGAACTATGAACTCATCCACATTTTTTTTCTAACTATCATAAATAAATAAATTATATATATTTATACAATAACTAAAATAGATTTTGAGAAGCGTTTCCTGTACATTAAAAGTATTTCATTTTAGTTGCTTTGCCCAAATTAGCATATCGTTCGTCAATGTAAATACGACATATTTTAAGAAAGAGCCAGTAACCGGAATGATTTTGAACACTTCACTTAAAATGAATACAAACTATTTGTAAAAACTATACATTTGCAAACAAAACAAAGCCTTTGAGCTGAATACTCAGCGAGAAACTTTACTTTAGATATTCGAATTTATAAAAACCATCAATGTCTCTCTTCAGGGATCTGTTTTATTCACAAGTAATTTCTTATCACTAAAATAATACTCACGTTTTCGTTAATCTGAGAAGTGTTCAAGTAATCCAATGCGCCACTACTTACAGATCATAAAATGCTTGATCGCATTGCACTTGCCATTATTTTTTGTATTTCATATATAAATCGTTAATACTTAGGTACTTAAAATCAATTTATGTTTTCATAGTAATCATCTTCTTACACTCGCCGCTGTGTGAATCGCAAATTGTATGTACTATAAATAAAAGAGCTATAATTATATTAAGTCTAAGCTAAGTAAAACAAATTTAAAAACTATGAATAGTTCGTGTTAATGTTAATGTTAATTAAACTGCCAATTATTATGTGATAGTTTTAATACAAGTTTATTTTCTGGTGTTTGGGTTACGTTACATTTATTGTTATATACATATACTTACTGTGAACTTTGCAATATTTTTTAATTTATTGAATTTAGTTTATGTACATAATAAAGTTATTATAATGCATTTGCCTAAGCCCTTGTTCATATACACGCACACTTGAATATAGTTATATATATATATATATATATATATATATATATATATATATATATATTTATATAAATATTACGCATAGTTTTAGGCCCAATGAAATTATATATGTAGTTAAATGTTTGTTAGTTATTATTTATGCAAGCGAAACAAAAAACAAAAAAACAAAAAAATCCAGCTACCCATTAGTAGTTAAGTCTTACATTAAAGATTTAAGTATTGCAAGCACTAAACATCAAAATAAAAAAGAATTACAAGTTTTATTGACAATTAAATGAAATATTTAACTCATGGCCATACCCAAAAGCGAAGACATCAAAGTCTTACACTCATTGTCAGTACCCAAGCATTGGCTTTGTGCTAATTAGTTTTAACGGCGACCGCCTGTTACAGACCCCAGGCTGAACGAGGATCATCAGGGGCATATAATAAGTTTTCTCCAATAAAGGAAGCGCATGAAAGCGCACGCAGCTGTGCATGTCAACAACAGCAGCAGCAACCAATGCAACGGCTGCAACATTACACTGGCGGCACTTGTCAGTCAAAATCAAAGTGCGCAGCTACTGCTGCATTAACAGCATCATCAGCGAGCTGTGCTGCAGCCGTGCGATGTGCTAGTCGGGTTTGGTGGGGGGGAGGGGAGTCAAATGCGTGCCGCATGCGCCAACAGCCTGCAAACATCAGTGCAGATTAGAGAAAACATTTTACTCGAAGCATCTTGGCCAGATCTGGCATCGGGCCACAGCAAACGGCTGTTCCAACGAGTGGCGCAGTGAGCGGCAAGTCATTTGAGATCGAAACATGTCGATTAGGGAATTTCAAGAGGCGCCAGTTACTGGCGCAGGTGGCTCACAATATTCAAGTCGACGTCGTCGTGGCACCTTGGGGGACCGTCAGCCGTATCCCCAATGAACAAGCATCTTAATTGCATTTGATGAACTTTGAGCCAAAGTCTCCTGCCATTTGAACATTTACACAGCGATTTTCTGATCGGAGGTTGTAACTTGAATAACTTTCTGACAAATTAATATCTATAAGCTATTACTGTAATTATTTGAAGCGCAAAATTAAGAAAATGTCAAACATTTTGAAGTTACATTTATTAATAACAATAATAAGCTAAGCCATCAACGTAAATTGTAAACAACACCATCGATCTAATATATTTATACATTGATACAGTAGCCTACAAACTCAAAGACAGATCCTCGTTGTTTAGTGGGTCACTTAACCAACTAATAGAAGGTTGGCTGAATTTTGAAATCATTTAGACAGAATAGATATTTCCAGAAATTGATAAGAAATATAAAAGAAAATCAACAGAGCATAGATGAATGTCAACTCGAATAGAAAGTACACTTAAAAAAAACATCAAATATCTGTATTAGTTTGGCAAGTCTTGAGTTCGATTATGATTTCGACGTGTTAGCCAATTTGTAAACAATTCAAGTAACCAAACAGATGAAGAAAACACCATCATGAAAGCGAATCCATACCAAACGTATTGCAGATCTTGCAACTGCATCGCGCGAAATTCTCTGCGTCCACTTAAATCAAGGAACTTCATTTCACCTGCTTCAACCTGCTCCGAATATCCTTTCGACGTCCAATAGGAATACAAGCCCATTTCGGATAGTTCCAGAATGAGTTTTTGTAGGGGCTGCTTATATACGGAATTTTCACGCACTGGAAATCCGAGTGGTATATTTTTAAAGAAACAGAAATCATCGCGCATCCGAAATAGCGGCTTGCTAAAGATATTCTGTTGCTCATTAATGACAACCCACTTGGTGGAGGTCATCACGTAGCCATACGAAGTATTTAAGGAATCACGCATACTTATGAATTTATCAAAACTACGCTCAATATGAAACATCCGTTCATATTTTCGAAAGGCGACCGCTCGTCCGATAAGCTCATTATACTCCGGTTCCCAAGCGACAATTTTTACATTGGAGGCCAAGATATCATCGTAGCTCTGATAGGGCAGCTCCTTTGGCGTACTGGTCACATAAGCAGAGAAGTACGAGTTGTACCAGGCAGTGAGCAGAAAACCCAATATGCAGATCTGTATATAAATCGAGCGCACCTGAATCGATACATTACGAAGCTCATGGAAGGATTGTCCCAGAGCTCCTCTCAGGCAATTGTCATGTAATATAAACTCATAAAGTTGCACATCATAGCCGTTGTGTTTTAGAAGCAATGAAAGAGTTATGGAAATTACCACCAAGACAGCGAGAGTCAGTAAAAATGAGTCCAGCTGGAAAACATTCAAATAATACATTGCAGGTGGTATATCTGGTTCGATGGGCAGCATCAAGCACCAATTCAATTGCTCATAAGGATATGTAAAGGTTCGCATGTTCAATAGATAGGGGAACGTAACGGCCATTCCTATGTCCACGGTGCCATTGAGCACGGCAACCACCAGATCCGTCGAAGGAACTAATACATTCGGCTTAGCTACTCTCGGTTGCGTAAAAGTGCAATTATATCTTTGTTGAAAGGCATCAATGAAGTGTCCCAATGTGCCTTTATATACAATACCACCTTGTTTATTGTAGTAGATTATAATGCGAGGGCTAGCACCACCAATCATTATAGACACATGATAGCCGTAAAGATTATTCAGACGATCGGGATAGATGGGCAAGCTTGGTTTATATATGCGTTGCTCCAATTGAAATGTGGGAAATTGATTATAGCTATAAAAGGTGTTGGTTGTCTAGGATAGAGAATATATTTAGTCAATAGATAGTCATATTATTGCTGTGGGACTTTATCTTACCCGATAGTCCTCGAATAGCGCCAGCACATTCAGCATCTGCATTTTCCAGCAATATGTGAACAATTTATATAGAAACGGCTCATTAGGTTCACTCATTTGCACTATGAATACCACGCGTGATGTCGTCATAAGTCGCAAATTGGCAACCAGTGCCTTTATTAGAATTTCGTTGTCGCTCAGGTCCGTTCCGACTAAGTAAACCACAGACAACACATGATTGCTGTGATTGTCATTCAGGAAATAGGTAACACGCTCATCAAATTGCATAACGGGTATCTGCAGATTATCCATAAGGCTTTTGACGAAAGAGTTATCCCCAAAGTCGGTTATTAGTTTTTCTGAAGCATTGGAATTGTGATATTTCATTAACAACAAATAGTTAAAATTATCTTGTTCTTTAATGCTTCTTAGTAGTTGCACCATAGCCGAACTATCTGTTCCAACTGTTGGCCTGATAGTCAATAGCAGAAGGCACAATATAAACCAAGAACTATTCATGGTGGACACTGACGAATTACTGAATGACATTGGTTATTGCTTCTGCGTTTTTAAGGGATTGCTAATGAATCCCCTGTGAAGACAATTAAAAAAATCAAATTAGCGCTTTACAAGCATTGTACAAACAAAAAAGAGCAACACCCAAGAGATTACATGGACACTATGTACTATCAATTATAACGAAATGAGCTGCAACTGTGGTGTAGTAGCAGCGATGTGTAATAACGGCAAAAGTCACCCGAACAGTTAATTATATCGTATCACCATAATATAAAATGCCTTCCGTTATTATGTATCGCAGAAGTTTTCAAATAATGACAAAAATTCGTTAACAAAAATTAAGAAATTCCTAGGAGATATGTGAAAATATATTTTATTGAATTTAACCGTTCACAGAGTTGACCCAGCTAAGACCTCAACCGAGGTTGGGAGCACCTCACCAACCTGATACTTGTGGCGATTATTATATTTTTCACCGATGGCGCACAAATTCCGGTAAGTATCATCGCGTTTCTTACACAATCTACCTGGCACGGCATGAATCTTATAAATGGGTTTATTTCGCATATTGTCAGTAGCGAAGGCGCAGGCCATGTGAAAGTTGTTGACAAAGCCACTTGCAAATCTCATTGCACTGCAGCCCACATGTGTATTGCGATCCGCCATTAGTAATACGGATAGACGCACAGTTCTATGAAAGAGTTCGATCTCTCAGAAGACTAATAGACATAGTTATCTTTTGGTACTTACGGTCTACGAAAATCGGTTGTCAAATGCAACAGCAATTGTCTCGTCACAAACCGTGCATCTTCAAACCAACCGTTCAGCAGCTCATCTGTGATTTCAGTAACCTTGTGTAAGTTCGGCTTCCCCGTGTAGCTCAGCCCATCGTAGATACTGCCAATGACCGTAAACTGTGATGAGGCCATGCAGGGTCTCAAATCACTTGCACATTTCTTAATGTACATTTGCGCAAAGTTTTCCAGCTCTGCGGACCACACCATCCGTGCCATACGTCCGGCAGGAAACAAGGTGCGTGTATAGCCAGCGGCAGCTTTATTACGAAATTTGTTAATTAAATGCAATAGGTGCGTTTTATGGGGAGCTAAGGATATCATTTTAGCGCCAGGCATACACGAACTGCTCATATTCTATAAGAAGAATGTAAATAAGAATTGCCTATGACTTAAGTTGATTCATATTTAATACATACTTTTTTATTCCCGCACGCTAAATTCCTTAAGCCGCAGTGAGGGGTTTTGCAATAGACGCTTTCTACTCCCGAATCTCTCGCCAGGCAATGCAAAAAAATCAGCTGCAAAATTAATAAGTTCTTAATAATGCTTAAGGCCATGGTCATTGAGCTCAAGCTCTACGCGTATAATACTTGAGAGTCTCATCCAGACTACCCACTTTTATAGATTTTTGTTCAGGCGTTGAGTCAGCTGTGTTGCTAAAAATAACAAATGCCAATCAGCAACAGCTGTGAAATCAAGTCATTAAAAAACACTTGAAAAAATAATTTTTATTGGAAAGCAGACGATACAAATTATAGGAAAACAAAAAGTACATTTATTTATTTTTCGTGGAATATTTAATGTATTAGTTTAGTAAGCTTAAATGCAAAAACAGATATTTGAACAACTTTTTCCAATTCTGTATATTTTTCACGTCCAAAGATTAATAAAGTTTGCTATCCAATGTGCTTACAGCAAGAGTCCACTTATTTAATTGAAAATTTCATAAGTTCAAGTTTCTGAAATGGAAATATGGATATAATCGTAATGAGCTGTCGCAAAGCCACGCAACAGACAAAACCAAAAGAAAAACTTAAATGAGGCAGAGATCTCGTTCATGTTTCATGTTTCATGTTTCAAGCTGCCTGACAGATGATCACTCTTAATGATGCTGCCAGCTACAGCAAGAGTAACAACAACAATAATAACAACAAAAACAAGCACAGAAACAACTCTCATTATTTTTCAAGCATTTTTTATTTTGGTTACTACAAGTTTTGGTGCACTTCACTCGATTTGGCAGATGCGTCAGCACTTGACCCGCGCTGGCTCCAGCCCCAGCTGAGACTCGAACTCGGACTCGAGCGCGGACTCCATCTTCGACTGTGTCCCATGCTTGTTAACCGCCAAATTAAGTTGACGTTGACGTAATGCTGCGCCACTCGAGTAGGTCTCACTTTTTTGATGATGAAGTGCAGCATTTGAGGCCGCTGTTGTCGGTCAATTAGCTGCGCATATCAAAAAACCAGGCACAACATAAAAAACAGTGGCAGAATGGAAAGCCTACCATCACATGACCGTCCAACTTGGGCTGTGGGTCATATGGAGTCTTTAATTGGCATCGTTGTGTCTACCAAGACAATTTGTTGAATGCCTCACAGTTCACAAGTGCATTCTCAGTATGTTTTCTTTTCTGTTACTGTTGCACATAATATTGTCATTTTTTATGCAAGAAATTTTGTTCTTAAGCGGTTTAGTTATTATTTCTAACCATAAATTTGTAATTACAACTCTTTTGAATAACGGACCATTATAAAAAGATTATTCCTGACGAAAATCAGTTTAGCTTTCATCAGTTATTATAAGTTTGGAAACTAATCAAGTTAAAAGTGTTTTCACCATTGGCTGCAATTGTAAAAATTAAAGATGAACAAACTTTATTGAACTACAAATCGATTTGGAAAATAAATAAATTTAGATTCCAAATCCAATCATATATGCCATATTCAAATTGGTATTTCTCATACAATAATAAAGGTGCGGCAAGAACTTTTGTTGCCTTAGATCTGTATACTGTGTATATCATAGACAAGCTCTGTTTTGACTAATGGCCACTCCTGAAAATGAAAACCATTCTCGCAGTTCTGCAAAGTATATTTAGTGTGACATATTTCCGTTTGTTAGTAGCTCAAATCTGGTATTTTGGTTGTCCAGTCATTGTCGCTGTTATTGTTAGTGGCTACGACACATGCACGGGCCAAATGGTGCACCACTCAAAAGTTGGCACGCAGCTCGGTCAATGGATAAGTGGCGCAGAAACAACGGGCGCTACAAAACGGTAGCCTTTTTGGAGTAGTCGTATGTACGTGTGCCTGACAACAATGGTATTGTTGTCGGGTTTCAGTTGTTGCCCGCATATTGAAAAGCGAAAGAAATGGTGAAAATAGCAAAAGCCCAAAAGCGGACTGACAAAATGTGTATATATCGGTCTCGCCATAGTATGTATGATAAATGGCATAGTTTATAGCAAGTCAAGCACTGGCGATTGTCCAGCACAATGTAAATTTCCATGGACTTTTTTGGAGTGTTTGGCCTTTAAGTAGTCCTTCGGTTGGCCACATCTTAAACCAAGTCAAAACCATAGATGCAGCCCATTTTGCTAGGTCGTTGGTGTGGTTGCAGCTGCCCCAGTGCTGGTTTATGAAAGGGTATCATAATTTACCACAAATATGGTCATAATTTTGGGCTTTTACTTTTCGGCTATTCAGCTGCTTCGACGTTAATGAAGCAGCCCCAGCCAAAAAGAAGACAAAAAACGCCAAATCGGTGCTAATTTAAGAGGTCGGCCGATGGCCACTTGTTACTTGTTGGCATCACATCGCTGTGGCCATTGTTGCCATCGTTTCCTAGTAATCTGCGGAAAAACGTGTCATTCCTAGTCTCGGCAGTCTGGCCAGGCTGTGCCACTCTATAATCAACAATAACAACAACAACGTTTGTCAGCCAGCCAACCAGTCGCCTACAATGTGGAGCAACGTGAGCAATCACGTCCGGCTGCATCCTGAGCGGGCTGGCTGCTGAGGCCGCCGGCCTCAACGTTCAGCCACGCTTCAATAAATGTCACTCCTCGAGCTTTGCATCTAAAAATTGATGACAATAATTTGTTGCATTTGGCCGAGGGGGTGTGGCCAGCCAGCAAGCTAGCCGGGTAAGACTAGCCTGGTAAGCAACAAATTGTCTTTGGCAGACATTTGGCTCTATAGCTGTCCCTGCCAGCGTTGGCGTTCCACTTGGACGCGACGCGACGCGATGCCCGCTGCCGTTTTTCGACACAATTTATACAAAGTGTCGCAGTTTTTGGCGCTTTGCATTTGTTGCTGACAGCGAAGTAAGTCCCCCTGCAGCACCATACTGCAACATGCCACGCCCTAGTGCACAGCTTCTATTGGCGGCTGCACTTTGCAACTAAACAAAAATGAGCCATAAATTTCGTCATTTTGTCGCAAGTCGTTTGTATACCCTAACCGCAACAGGGTTAGGTGGGGCAAGTCGTTGATTGCAAAGCGCTATGCGAATTGTTTGCCCAATTCCGCGTAAAATCAACACTCAATATATGTATATACATTCATATATACGTATTTATTTATTTATTTTGTAGCTGTTTTTTGCTGAACTCGCTTTGCTTTGATTTCGATTGCACATTTTTCAATTTGATAAATTTATTGAGTTTCTTGCCACACTTTCCGAGCAAAAACAAATCACCTGCGATGCCAGCACTCGCGATAACACAAACGAAATTCAATACAAATTATAATGGATAATGCCATTGCCAGTGCCACTGTGGTTCCCCATGCAAGTAGTTACCTTTATGGCCATCGCCTTGTAAATGGCATCAATTGCGACCTTTTGCCATTCTTACGGAAACATTTCGCTAATGAAACCGATACCTCAAGTGTCATAGCCTGGACTAGACTGTGCTCCAATCCAAGCTCCTGATCGACACACTCTGAAAAAATATCAGATACAATTTAAGTCGGTCTAAATACAATCCTTCTAATCTCACAAAAAAAATAGCAAGAATTAGTAGCTTATCCATTAATACTTTTCAGAAATCCCCTTTGATGTTGTATAATCATATTTTCCAGAAATTATCTATAATCTTAGAAAATAATAAGGCAAATAAGATTATGATATATCTCCACTACATCTAAGAGGCAATCACACATATAAATTGACAATTGATAAGCTGTTATGTGTGTAAATTATAAAAATAGTATTTAAAAAATAATTAGTGCTGCTTTGGAAAAATATTTTAAAAATTTTCTAATTTCAATACATATTTTTTTGTTAGTGCAGCCACTGGATACTGGCCTGTAGCAGACGCACAGCGGCTGGAGTCTGCCACATTTACTACATTCTAAGTCGACTTATGTTAGCCATAAAAATGTTAAGCTCACAACATTTGCCACATTGGCACCTTTATGCCAAGCAGTAGAAATGGAGCACGCACGTGGCACTCGCACCAGTCCTATGTAGATCCGAACCATCCAGCGAAATAGGATGCCACTTTAAAAGCCTGTACGAATCGCAGCTGCAGCTCATTAAACGATAACTGAGCAATCATTTTTTTGAAGGCTCTCAAGTTATTAAAGCTTTGCAGATCCATTAGGTAAGCTAGATATATTAAAATTTTGTCAGCTAGGCTATTTCAATTTGATATTGTACTTCGTTTTCACGACATATATGATGGTAAATGCGTCGACTAATAATTATCAAATTTAACTGATTGATTGTCCATTTAATTATTTAATTACAAAACACGCACATCACAAATAATAATAACAATAAAACAACAACAATAATAATAATAATAATAACGATTTGTGAACAACGCAGAAGGCACACACTTGAGTGCGCAATGGATGAGCTGTTGGATGCCAAAAAGACACGTCAAGACACATCATTCAAAGCTGTACCAATGGGCAATCACTGAACCTCTCTTTGTGCTCATACAATAGTCGAGTGTTTACGTGGGCGTGCAGCGAATGAATTACAACAACAATAAAAACAAACACAGCAACAACATATTGAACATATAAACAACATGCGACGTGCGCTGGCCTGATGCCAATTTCGTGGATACCAAGCTGGGACCCCAAAGCGACCAATGCATATATATATATATAAATATATATATATATATACATATATATGCTCAGGTACATGTGAACGTGTTTAAACAAATACAATTTGCAATTATATGGCAAGCAAATCAAGTAGAAATCAGCATGCGATTTCCACCTGTGATCGGCGTCATAATTCGTGGCTATGTTTTTGGTCATAAATCTAACGATTTACAATTATTTTTGTTTTTTGTGTTTTTGGCCACAGCTAGAGAGATAGAGAGAGAGAGAGAGAGAGAGAGAGAGCGAGAAACAAAAGTTGAATGCATTTCGTGGCACAGCGGGCAGCTGCAATAACATGGACATGCAACGTATGCAGCTGAAACAGAAAACAGAAACAGCAACAAAAGGCAACAACAGACAAATGCATAGCCATAATGGCCATTATGGTCATTTCGTTATCAATGCACACGGCCGACAAAAAAACAAGG